TTATTGATCTTTTATCATATAAGGTCAATGTCTTTCAGCGCATAAAACTGACTACCTGGTACTTTATGCCTTGCTTCAGGCTCCTGCTGTCCCATCTTAATTCTGCATTTTGGAAAAATGAGTTCCCCTCATGTGCCATTGAGACACATCCTTTAACAGAAGACACGGCCATCTGTGCACGTACACACACACACACACACAACACACACACACACACACACACACACACACACACACACATTAAGTAAGTTGATGGTCCACAAACTTCCTGACTATTCTGCACACATGACTGGTGACTCATGAGAGGTTTGCGGAGTATTTACCAACCTGTTGGGCTGTAAACAGAGCGCATGCCTGCCCCCTGCTGGAGTTGGTTTGCCACTGTTTGTTCAGGCTGAGAGAAACGTTGACAGGGACCACACCGTCCCATGACAAATGGGCCTGTATACAGATAACCCCCCCCACACACACACACACACACAAACATTATACCCCTATAATTGTTCGTTTTTTATACATTTATTGGCATTTATTAGTACTTTAGGTAAAAATCTTTTATCTGTAGTCTGAAAGGGTAACTGCAATTCTGTCTATGTGTTTATCCGTCATTTTATTGACCTCTGACTCTTCCACAGTTTGTTTTCTGTCCCGTCTGTCTCCCCTCACCCCTAACTGGTCGCAGCAGTTTGCTGCCCCTCCTTCACCCTGGTTCTACTGGAGGTTTTTGTTAAAAAGGAGTTTTTTCTTCCCACTGTTGCCAATTATTTGCTCATAGGGGGTTGTATGATGGGGGTTTCGCTCTATTACTGTGGGGTCTTTACCTTAAAATATAAAGCGCCTTGAGGTGACTGTTTATGTTATTCAGCGCTATTTAAATAAAAATAAATTGAATTGAAATCAATATCGCAGACGAAATATAAGACAACTGTGTGAAGCTCCTGTTGTACCTGGTGGCTGCTGCGTTGGTCTCTGCGTGAGCTTTGCGTCAGTGTGTGCAGCGACAGGTGTCTGAGCGCAGAGGTGAACGGTTGTTTCAGCTCCAGTTTGGTTGTATTTATGTCCTCCGAGCGACTCCACGAGCTCAGAACTCTGACCTTTAGACGACCCCATAATGCAGAAAAGAAATCCAGTTTAATAATGCCTGAACGATCTGTGTTTTACTGTCATACATTTCATACACATTTCCATTTAGTTATGTTACAGTTTTAGAGTTTAAAGAGGAAGGAAAGCAGAGATAGCAGAGAGAAATCAACATTGTTTTAATTTAGTTTTTCGCATAATGACACAGCTTGTACAGTCTGACCTGCTCCAGTTGTCCATGCCTCATCCAGTCCAGCAAAACACTATCCAGTCCTGCATTTAGCGAACGCTCCAGCTTCACATCCAAATTAGTCAAACGGGGGATGCAGGTGATCTGAACTAACATCAGGGA